CCATGAGATTTGCATAACACATAATTTTGGTCCTTGAGATTTGCATAACACATAACTTTGGTCCATGAGATTTGCATAACACATAATTTTGGTCCCTGAGATTTGCATAACACATAACTTTGGTCTTTGAGATTGTCCACCATCCATCACTTTGGTCATTCCATTAAAATGCTCAAGTACCACTTAACAGAATTTTTTAATGGAATGACCAAAACAATGGATGGTGGACAATCTTAAGGACCACTTCTATTGATTTTAAATCTCAGGGACCAAAGTTATGTGATGAAAATCTTAAGGGCTTTTATATTGAAGAGCAGATAATATGATTTAGGGGAAAATGTTTCAATCATATATACCATGATTGCTTGCTACCTGGTAGCTTATGAATGGCAAAGGCCAAAGTCATTAGATTATTAGGTTTCCCTTGTTGGAAAAGAATCCTATCTAGGAGATCCTGTAATCATGTCCATTCATCGTATATCGTACAATCAGAAATCATTTAAAATTTAAAATTAAATATAAATAATATCTAACGAAACTGACCGCACGATATACGATGAACGAATAAGATTACGAGATCCTCCGGATCCTGACGAGGATCCCTTTCCTCCCCTATTAACCCACTAGCATAAAAAAAATTAAAACAATTTACATATATAAATACATTAAAAATGTATAAGTCGCACATAACACTTCGTGATTTAAAAAATATCTTTTACACATGCGTAAGTACGTGCATGAATGCTAGTATCGCTTAAAACTTAAAAGTATATTTCTACTTACACTCCACACAACCCGAATCCTTTTGTTTTGAACAAAAAACTTTCTACTGTTTCATCTTTTTCTCCCAACTTCGTACTTTTCTCCATACACCTTAACTAAGTACATGTATAGAGTCAAATAGTCGTTTTGGAATCGTAAAATGAAGTACCAAACTTTACTTTTCTTTTTTGATTTTATATTTACAGTCTTTTTTTTATCCTTTCGAAAGTATGTAAATATTCATTTTTATATATCTCTTCCGGTGAATAAATATTTTACACCCTGTCATTGAATTGTAATAACAGAAATGTTTAGTAATAACAGAAATGCCACATGGCACTATTTCAGTAGTAGAGTTGGTTAGTATAATTAGAAGGGTATTATTGTAATTGAGATATATGGCTATATAAGGAACTGTATAGCTATTATTTTATTAAGTTTAATGTGTACTTTTTCCTAATCAATCAATACAATCTCTTTTATTTTTCTCTACCAATTCTTTCCCTTCCTCTGTACCAAATCTTCATCTCTTACAATGTAGTTAACATGGTATCAGAGCCACCAGGCTCACGCCTTTGATTCTGGTGGTTCCGTTTTTAATTAGATTTCGTCATTTTCATCGTTTTTATTTTCATTAGGTTTTCTCTTCAAATTTTCTTGAAATTTCCGTCCAGTTCTTCGGTGCTTCCGCTAATCGACGAGAAGGTCCTGATCGGGTGAATCAACGAGATCATTGGGTGAATCAACGAGGTCACTCGCTCCCTGCTCCAATCCGATGTTCAATTCAAGCTCGTCCGCACAATTTTCAAACTCCGTAGCCTCAACGCCATGGTCAGTTTATGTGGGCTTCAAATTCTTGACATTTGACGAATCTGACGAACTGGGTTTTACCAAAACCGGCAAATCGCTCAAACCCAGATCACAATTCGGAGCGATCATATCGTCGACCCGGTCATCGACCCGATTCTCTTTCTTCTTGCTCTTGTTCTCATGCTTTTTCGACGGTTTCTTTAAATGATCTCGGTTCTTGAGGAAAAGATCGATGAGAGAGGCGGGAAACCCAGTCTGGACGAAAAGCGAACCGCCGCGTTTTGGCGATTGGAGATCGGCGACGAATTGGGAAAGCGACGTTGTGAGTTCACTGTCATTGGTCGATCCGGCCTATGTGATCACCACCTTGGAAAACGTCGTCACTGACCTCGCCGATTTCAACTGGGTCTGGATCAAGATCATGCCGAGGAAGACGAAGGACCAGAACGTGAGCGAGCCGCGCCAGTGGAGGTGGTGAATGTGCGGCAGCATCTCTTTCATGTTGTGATTTGGTAACGGGGGAATCCTCTGGTTTCTTGGAGAGATTGGTTGTTTGGATTTCTGGGAAATAGGTCGATGCAGGACTAATTCTTTGCACTGTTGATTGAGATCTTGGATTTCTGAATGTTATTTTCTGCGATTTTGATCCCTGCTATGTTCCCTGGTATGGAAGAACGTTTAGACCTATGTGCAGCCCAAGTGCTTGACGAATTGCCCAGCTCAGAATTGCAAATCTGGGTTGCTCGAAGATTGGGTATCTGGGTTGCTTGTCGATTGGACGTCTAGAGTTCAGTGCTATTTGACGATCTGGTGATGCTTGTGTGGTGATTCAGTTTGTGGGTTTGAAGAAGAAAGTAGCAGTCTTTCTGTGGATTTTTGGATTGTCTTTCTGTGCATCCACACCTCACGTAAGCTCCCCCATCTTCTCCATGACCAAGATACTGACGATGACAGCTACCGGCCTTCGAAGAGGGCAATGGCAGATTTCAGAGTGTCAATCAGAGTGTTGGATTCTTCTGGGTTGCTCAGTATCTTCGTGATTGTTTCAGGTGTTGTTATTTCTTTAATTCGAAGATTATAGTCAATTTTTGATATCTGGGTTGCTAAATTCTCAAGATATTGAAGTGGGATATTTCTGATTGATTTGGGATATATGTGTTGATTTGGGTGTTTGTGTTCATCTGCATATATTGTATTGGATATGTTGATGTGAAGAAATACGAAATTTTGTAGTCAAGAAAGTGTCAATCTTTCAAGACAGTATTATTCTTTCTGCATCAACAATTTGTGGGAGTTTCTGTGATTCTGATGATCTGGTGAAGACATTGGGTGTTTGGTGATCTGAAACGCTTATTTCTTGAAGTTGTGGTCTTTGATGTACTTTCAAGGTTTAATTGAAGTGAAGCTGTGGTCTTGATGTGTTGATCTCTGCAAGTATTAGTTTTCTTGTCAATTTACAGAAGAAAGTGTCATTCTTTCTATGAATCTTGGAGTTTCATTCTCCTAAGTTGCAGTATGATTTGTGTTCATGGAGTGTCAGTCTCCTTATTTGGTATTTTTAGTAGAAGTGTGAGATTTGTGTTGTGCTTTGGAGTGTCATTCTCCTTGGCTGATTTGGTTTCTTGGAGTGTCATTCTCCTTGGTAGATTTAGTTTCTTGGGAGTGTCATTCTCCTTGGTAGATTTAGTTTCTTGGAGTGTCATTCTCCATCGTAGATTTCGTTTCTTGGCAGTGTCAACTATGGCTTCTCAGTTCACAGTCGAAAAGTTGGGTATGTTCAGATCAAGACCACGTAGCACAGCTCCCTATTTGTGGTACCATTAAGTGGCGTTTGAGTAACAAGAGTGCAAAGGTCAGTCAGCATGCTGCATATCTTATTTCACGAATTGATGTTGTCATGAAGCAGTGCCAAGAGGAGCAACTGATGGGTCATCTTGGTGTTGTCTTGTATGAGTATTTGGGAGAAGAGTATCCAGAAGTTTTGGGATCAATTATGGGAGCATTGAAGGCAATTGTGAATGTTATTGGTATGACAAAGCTGACTCTTCCTATAAAGGATTTGCTTCCCAGGTTGACTCAAATTTTGAAGAACAGGCACGAGACAGTCCAGGAGAACTGGATTGACCTTGTTGGTCGTATTGCTGATCGCGTGCTAAGTTTGTTCCAGCAAGGGATTGGATGAGGATTTGTTTTGAGCTTCTTGCAATGCTCAAGGCTCATAATCTTCCACCACAACATGGCCTGAGGGGAAAGGCAGTAATTTGCACCCGGTGGGATTCATTTGTTTGGGATTTTCAAGAACAGCTAGTTCAAACTTCACTTGATTACACCAAGTTCAGTTTGAGGGGGGAGTAATAACAGAAATGTTTAGTAATAACAGAAATGCCACATGGCACTATTTCAGTAGTAGAGTTGGTTAGTATAATTAGAAGGGTATTAGTGTAATTGAGATATATGGCTATATAAGGAACTGTATAGCTATTATTTCATTAAGTTTAGTGTGTACTTTTTCCTAATCAATCAATACAATCTCTTTTGTTTTTCTCTACCAATTCTTTCCCTTCCTCTGTACCAAATCTTCATCTCTTACAATGTAGTTAACAAATTGTTTTTCAGCCAACTAAATATGTAAGGTAGCAATTTCAAGCATATTACGGGCTGGTTTGGTATTGCTGTGCTTTGAAAAAAAGCTGCTGTGAGAATAAGCGGCTGTGAAATAAATCAGCAGAGCGTTTGGTAAACTTTTTTGTAAAAGTGCTTTTGGAAAAAAAAGCAGTCTGATAGTGGGTCTTTTCATTAAAGGAGCACTGTAGCCCCGTGTGCTTTGAAAAAAAGCCAGTTTTCCAAAGCTGCAAATAGCAGCTTCAGCTTTTTCCTTTGATTTCAGCTTATTCTCACAGCAGCGTCCAAAATAAGCCCTTTTTTTTTCAGTTTACCAAACACCTAAAACCCTAACAGCTTTTTTTCATAGGTGCTTTTTTTAAGCACCTCACTCCCAAATTAGGTCTACATCTTCTATTGAAGATGCATTAACTTGATATAATTTTAAAACTTTATAATTTAAAACTAGTATATGCCTACATATAAAATGTGCCAAATTTTCGACTTTTGTTTTTAAAATTGAGGAGAGAGGAAGGGAGCGAGATAGAACGTGGGGGTGAGAAGAGAGGGAAGGAGGTTTGTTTTTTTTCTTCTTAAATTAGAGATAATAAAATCACTTGTAGATGAGCATTAAACAAAAAAAAAAGTAAAATTTTGTTTTGTAAATTGCGTTACTGTTCTTAACATTTTTATTATGATTAAAGATAAAAATATATTTTCACTCTCTTTTAATTAATAAAAAGAGTTTCATTAATACGCAGTTTGGATGAGAAAATTGAATGATACGTTTTGAAAATCATCTCAAACTTAAATGGTAATTAGCCTTAAGTTTTAATTAGATTATTGGGGTAGAGAGAATTTTCAAAAGGAAAGGGCTACGACATAAACATCCAGAGATAACTTTGCAGTTGCCGTGGAGCGAACACCATTCATGGGTTTAACACGATTTGGGCGTCCGAAGGGAGGAAAAGGGCAGTCGAGCCCCAACCTATACGTGGCCAACTGTGGGCCAGCAGTGGGACTCTCCTACGACACCATAGCGGCGGTGTTTGCGGCCTTCGGTGAAATCAAAGGAGTGTACGCGGCTGACGAGAGCGGCGCTCGGGTTGTTGTGTCTTTTGCAGAAGAGGGTTGTGCCCAAAACGCCTTGAATGCATTGGGCGGTCGGCCTTGCCCTGAGCTTGGAGGGCGCTCCTTGCACATTCGGTACTCTGTGATTCAGCCCACTTCGCAGGTTTGGAATTCAACTCGTTTTTGTTTGTTGGGTTGTTTTCATTGATTTGGTAAAACTGGATGCTCATCATTGTTCTGGTGAATCTTTAGGGTAGCAGGAATAGTGTGTATTTTTTTAATTTAATTTTATTGTATTGAAGAAATTAGCTTCTTTTAGGAAGGAATGTGGCCGCCAAGTTAGCAAGGAATGAACTGCGAAGTGTTAGATAGCGGAGATTAGAGATGACGTTCATGAACATTACAAAGGCACGCGACGGGGATTTGCAAATCACTACTTGAAATAAGTCATTGACAAATCGCTCTTACATGGCTTTTGCAATGATCCCCTCTATCTAACATTTTGTTGTCATTTCCTTACTAACTTGGCATCAATCTCTTGGGACTGAGAAATCTCTTACCCAAACATAGCCTTAATGTCTTTTCCGTGATGTTGTATGTCATGGTTCCCGCTTAGAAACAAACCGTTACATTGCGTGGTTCCGCAAATTGTTTGTTATTAGTTTTGATGCATAAATTGATTTCCCAGAGTATGTATATCATTCCTCAGTTTCTTCTCACATTAATATATTTGATGTCTTTTTAGGGCCGAGCAAATGATTCAGTTCCCGTATCTTTGTTGGCTTCAGATTTAAACATTCCTGGCCTTTACTTGTTTCATGACTTTGTCACTGCCAAAGAAGAGGAGGTGTTCACTCCTTGTCCACATACATTTTCTTTTTAAACTTGTGAGGTATCAACTTAGTTTTCCGCATTTCACCTTATATATGTATCTTATTTTTGTTTCTTTAGGAGTTACTTGCAGCAGTTGATGAAAGGCATTGGAATAATCTTTCGAAAAGAAGGGTTCAACATTATGGCTATGAATTTTGTTATGAAGTAAGCCTCAGATATTTCACAGCTTGCCTCCTCCTAAACTTGATTATTTGTTCATAAACTACACCATTGTGAAAATATCCAATTATTTTGTTGGACAGCAATATCTCGTTTGAAATCTAATCATTACATTTGACGTATCAGTCCATGCAACTTGTTAAAACATGGGAGTGGGGGAATGTTTCTTCTCGTGAATTTGTCAAAATTCTCAAAATTCCATTATATTTTTTTCCATATCAGTTTGAAACAGAGTACCAACTTGGAAATTGGTTGAAACAGAGCAAGGAACAGGAAATTGGTTAAACCAGAGGAAGAATTTGGAAGTTGGTTTAAAACAGAGCAATGATAAAGCATGCTATTGGAATGTTACAACTGAATCTCCTTTTTTTCTTGAAACCAGTTATATTGATAGTGGTTTCTTCTCGTGTTTACAGTGTAGTTTAAGATGTTACTTGGGTTCTATCCGCTGTTTTAATCTAAAATGATTTGTAGTTGTGTTGGAATATTTACTAGATATTCTGTTGTTTTTCCTACTCTTTGTTTTCTTTTTGTTTTTAAAGAAAGGGTTACCCAATACTAGATGACTATAATTAAGTTAGGAATATGGATGACTTTCCAAGCGTTTCTGACTTTCTGTATAATTCTAATTTTCTTGTTGCTACAGACAAGGAACGTTGATTCTAGAAAGAACTTAGGTGAACTTCCAAGATTTGTATCCCCTATACTTGAAAGGATATCTATGCTTCCAAACTGCAAGGATGATGAAGCTATTGTTTTGGACCAGTTAACGGTATAAAACTATATATTGTGCACTTTATTTGTGATTGTTCTTTCATTTGACAAAATAGATTTTGTTTTCTTACTTTTATTTTGTGTTGGAATGAAGTTATTGGAAGAAGATAGCTGTTATCTTTTGTTAGATATGGAATGTCATGAACTAGTATGTCTTAAGAATACGAGTTATTGCATCATCATATGCATACTGAAGCTAGACTATTATATTACAGGTTAATGAGTACCCATCTGGGGTGGGTTTGTCCCCACATATAGACACCCATTCTGCTTTTGAGGGATTAATTTTCAGCCTTTCATTAGCAGGACCTTGCATTATGGAGTTTAGAAGATATCTGGAAGGCGGGTTGCCTCCTAGACCTTCCTCAAGTTCTGATTTTGAAGTGGAATGTTCTGAAAAGAATTCAAATTTTAAGGAGGGCAATCTATCTTCCTCCTCGGTCTATGCTACTGTTATCTGGGGAGGCGCGCTATGCGTGGAATCATTACATTCCACACCATAAGGTATTTTATATATTTTCTGAATTATCAACTGGTTGTGTGCTGGGGTCTTGCCTGCTAATCACCTAAACCATTTTACACTACTGTAAGAATGTGTTAGAAATGTTACTTACCATTGAACATATATGGCATCAAACACAATCATCTCATCATCACACCATTCACCACCACATGCACACACACACACACACACACACTCTCTGTCTCTCTCTCTCTCTCTCTCTCTCTCTCTCTCTCTCTCTCACACACACACACACACACACACACATTGGTGGATTGTCATTCTCATTGATGGAAAAGGTTCATTAATTGCTTCTTTCACAGATTGACATGGTGAATGACAGTGTGATAAGGCGAGGCTCAAGGAGGGTGTCGTTCACACTTCGTAAGGTACATAACATCCAAAGTCTTTTGCTTTTGTTTTTATTTTGGCTGCTACTGTGGAAACTCAAATTCATACTCAGAATCCTTGAATGTGAGTTACAGAAGGAAATAAATTGCTATGCCTTAGACGATACAGAGTAAGCATCTCAATTGCCATTTTAATATATTACCCTCTTTTATGTATGAAAAATCCATCACATTTGCACTTATATTATGTTTGGATTCGGAAACTTATGATTAAAAAATGTTGCCTTTCCTGGAATTCTGGAGGGCAGTTATGATAGTTTTGTGCAATAGCTTAGAGTGACTGATGTATGTCGTGAACTTGTGATATAGAGTGCAAAAAAGTGCAAACTTAAAATAGAATTTTGTTAAAAGGGGTTCTGCTTTGCAAGATCCCACATCCATTCAAAATTATATTTTATAAATCGCTTTCAGGTTTTTGGTTTACAATGTGGGGTCAGATGTCATTCAATCCAATGGCTTGTAATCTTAATAATCTATAAAATTACAAGCTGTTGTATTGAATTATATGACTTTCTCACAGGCTCTAACAAAATGGCTCCCGCTATGGGCAGTAATGTGGTTACCTTTCTCACTGATTAGAAATAAGGAGCCTTAATGTATGTGGGCACATAGTTGTATAGAAAAAACATTCCGACTCATACTTGATTTTGTTATTGTTAAATCACCGTTGTCGTCATAATAGTGATGTAGCATATGTTGGCACATAGTATACATGCTATATCTTCAATGATATAACACGTATCAGGATACATAAACTTGTTTAGTCATATATTAAAATTATGACTGAAGATGCTGCAAGAACCGAGCAAATACGTGCACTAATGAAATATCATCATTTTATTTGTTACTTCTTGTATTTGCGACCGTACTTGAATGGCTGTGCGGGTGTAATTCTAGTGCTTCAACTGAGTTCCTTGCTTTCCCTTTCTTCCCGTGTTCATAGTTGTATTTAAATACCGAACTAATCTCCTTCAGCGTACATTGCATGTGCATGTTGTTCAATACCTTAAATTGTTTCCATGCCATCCAGTTTTGCGCTATGTTCTAATAATTAGATTTATGATGTTAAACTAAGTTCTTTCGTGCTTTTCAGATTAGAACAAGTCCTTGCCAATGTGAATTTCCGGAATATTGCGACTCTCAGAGATTAAATGGGTACGTTTCTTGAAGGTAGAAGATGTTGCTTTGAATTCTGCTTCATTCAATAGCTTTATTTCATAAGAGATGGTTAGCATGGTCTAAGGTGATTAAGCGGACTTGATTCTTTGATCTTTGAACAGGTAACCCTGTGTTGTTAAGTTGGTCGCTTAGATCTTCAAGGAAAGAGTTTAGCAATCGATGATCCCGTGTATGATTTTGTAGGATGAAATTCCAGGATCAGTAAATGGCAATCCATGTAGCGAAGTTCGCTGCTGGTCTTACAAGGAGTAGAAATCACGAAAAAAGGAAGACAAACTTAGATTTTGTTGTCCGAAGCATTTACAGATTGTTGTAACAATTTCTTATACTGTAGAATTGTCGAAATTTACCTGAGGAGAAAACATCAAGTGAAATATTTTGGCCATTTTTTTCTTTCTGAAAATTGGAAAATCCTGTTGCTTAAAGCAATTGCTAGAGCATAATTGTTGAGTTTCAAAATGGAATTAAGTGATTTGAGTCATTTTACAAAGGGTATAATAGACTTTGACATATGGGTGTGCATATCACATCTATGGGGGTACACATACCATTCCCATTTCTTTGTGGGTAGGTAAATGAACTTATGAGACAAAGAACCGACCAATTACAAGCCCGTACAAAAGAAAGGCCAATCCCAAAAGGGAAAGATCAAGCCAATTTCTACAAAATTCTAGTTGGAGATTTGTGTTTCTTTTCTCAAGGAGGCACATAAAAGTGAAGACAACTTCTGTATGTGCACCTATCTTTTTCATATTTTAAAAAGAAAATGAAAAATATTGGGTTTCCATACGAGCCTTTCTACAAATATTGTGTAACATGTGTCACAGATCCAACAGTGATTATTATTCTAAAGCGCAAAAGGTGAATCAAAAGTAAAACCGTCCTGTCTAATCGTAAAAGAATGAACGTATGAAATACAGTTTTTTGTATGATTCTTGGTCATATTACATTACATAGTACATGAAGTTTAATGTTTGGCACATCTGCAAACAGTTGAAAGGCAACAAGTGTACGTAGCAATGCAAGTTTGGTATATTTTGCTTTATAAGAGTAAAGTAGTGAGCAAGATACCTAGATGGATATATATATATATATATATATATATATATATATATATAGGGATTTTCATTGTTTTTCAAAAAATAGGGATTAGGTGTGGGGCTCACGCTACATTGAACTTCAACGATCCGAACCGTTTATTTTGTAGGTCTCGATTCATAGATCATTCTTGCAAAAATTCAATTCAATCCAAAACCATTTGCCTATTTAATTATCAAGATAAAATTTTATTGTTTTTTATATAACAAAGTATTCATTAATTTCTTTGAACCCAATTAGATGTTTTAAACATTTCCGATTTGGCTAATATTTTGCAATGATGATGTATGAGGTGCAACTTAAAAAATAGACGGTTTGGATCGTTAAAGTTCGATGTAATGTGGACCCCACAACTAATCCCTATTTTTATAAAAAAATAAAAATCCCTTCCCTTAAAATATTTCATATATATATGATATTTATATAATATGATAAATACAGACAACACAAATGCTTTCAAACAAGGAAAGGAAGATGCCAAAACCTTCCCCACCATTAAGAACTAGGAACAACCTCAACTGAATTCCACGTCTTTGGGGAAGCCACTCAACCCTAAAATCTTCACCACCACCGCCACCTGATCCAACATAAAGCTGCCCGTAAAACCCCGAAACACTCTTGCCCTATATGTTGTCGCTCTTCGGGTTGGCCCTCAATGACAAATCCAAAAAAATTAATCCATGGTCCGCATCACCAAAGAACCACACACCCTTTGGTTTGGTTTGCAGCCATCATCTGCACCGTTATAGCCATAGCCGTGATCATCGCGGGCATCGCGGTGTTTGTCGGCTACATGATCATCCATCCGAGGGTGCCTTTCATCACCGTCACCTCCGCTCATCTCGACAACTTCCAAAACTCCGTGGCCGGTCTTGTTGATACGGAGATCACCATTGTGGTAAGGGCGGAGAACGACAACACCAAAGCGCACGCAGTGTATTCGGACACGAGCTTCATTCTAAGCTTCCAAGGGCTGAACATTGCCAAGCTGGTGGCGTATCCGTTTGAAGTCAAGAAAAATAGTTCTGTTGATTTTCATTACTTGGTGCAATCATCGTCGATTCCTCTGAGTCCGGAGCTGATGGATCAAGTCGACATTTCGTTGAAGCGGGACAAAATTATTTTTAACTTGAAGGGGAACCTGAGGGCAAGGTGGAGAGTAGGGCTGCTTGGTTCAGTGAAGTTCTGGTGTCACTTGAATTGTCAGCTCAAGTTTCATCCCTCAAATGGAACCTACATACGCTCTCCCTGCAGCTCAAGGGCAAAATAGTATCCAATCAATAGATTAATTCTTCCTTCTTTTTCTTTATAATATTATAATTACTATCTTTCAGTTTTTATGTACACAATTGGCAACAATGAACACATTTTGAGATTTAATTACAGAAATAATCAATTTTTAGTAACGATTACGTATAATTGATCCTATAAACTTTTATACTTTCTGGAAAAAAGAAGAAAGGGTTGATTGTCATTTCATAGACCTATTGGAAGAGCACAAACACAACTTTTATAAGAAGCTCCTTAGGCAATAAAAAAAAAACTTGGGTAATTAGCTGTAATAAACATATTTTAACATTTAGTTGCAAAAAAAAAAGTTTAGTGGTTATTATGTCGTTATTATATCATCGTTGTGTTATCGGTATGTCATCTTTATGTCGTTGATATATAATCAATATGTCGTCATTACTAAAGATACTCATTTATGCAAATCAAATGAAAAATATGTTTATTATAGCTAATTTTCCAAAAAACTTTTTTTATCAAGATTTCAGCAATCAAATGATGGATTTGGTAATGTAGCTCTTAAAAATGTTTACACTTGTATTTAGTTTCGGAATGTTTATTGAGAAGCTCATTTAGTCCTCAACCAGCAACAATGAAGGGCCAAAGAGAAGGCTATGTTTTAGATCCCTATAGTTTTATTTTGGGTGCAGTCTCGGTTACATTATTTTCACCTCCTCTAATGCAGGACTATACTGTAACGGTTTAGTTTAATTGGAGAGAAAAAAAAGGTAAAAAGACATAGGAAGCCCACAAGGCTCCACAAAGGCTTTGTCATAGTACTAAAAGCAGCATGCTCGAGGGTATAAGTGGCCAACCAACTTGAAAGTAACATGTTTGCTGATTAAGATATAGCCCTTCCTGGCTAGGATATAACTTTGAGGATGACCTTATAACTTTGAGGATGACCTTAGGCAATAAGAAAAGAAGCAAACTACATGAAGCTTTGGGCATTCAGTAATCAAGTGGCTAGGGGTGGGCGCGGTGCGGTTTGGTGCGGTTTCGAATGAAACCACAACCGAAACCGAAACATTTTGCGGTGCGGTGCGGTGCGGTTTTGAAGCCAAAACCAAAATGAAACCAAACCGTTCGGTTCGGTGCGGTGCGGTTTCAAACGGTTTCGGTTTGGTTTTTGAGAAAAAAAATGTACAATTTAAAATATACATCTATTTATGCATAAGACGGTCTTATTTTCCTCGTATATTAATTAATGAATATGCAGTAAAATTGCAGCAAAACTGCATAAAAAACAGCAGCAAAAACTGCACCAAAACTGCACAAAACTGCACCAAAAAATAATGCAGCAAAACTGCATTAAAAAACAGCACCAAAACAGCACCAAAAACTGCACCAAAACAGCCCCAAAACTGCACAAAACAGAACCAAAAATCTGCACCAAAAGTGCAGCTAACTTGTACCAAAACTGCAACAAATGACAACTACTAAAATTGAGACAACATCCAATGCATCAAAGGATTTAAACTTTAAATCCTTATGCATCACATCTATTAAAATTGAACTTGATCACCAATCACAATACTTTACAATCCAATTGAAAGGTTAAGTTTGCCATAATACAAACCTATAAGTTATAACCTAGTTGAAAAGTTTAAAATATAAGTCATATAACATTTATTTATTATATGGTGCGGTTTCGGTTTCGGTGCGGTTTTGAAAACCCAAAACCGAAACCAAACCGTTTTGTGTGCCGCGGTTCGGTTTTGAAACCGAAACCGTTTCAAAACCGCAAAACCAAACCGTTTGGTGCGGTTTGATTCGATTCGTGTTTCGGTTTCGGTTTTCGGTTCCAAGTGCCCACCCCTACAAGTGGCAAGCTGACGGCACCCACGACAATCGTGCAAATTAGGCAAAAGAAGGTAAAGCTACCTAGAAGCAACTAAAGATACCCAGAAATCTGTGTAAATGGGGCCTAAAGAAAGCACCTTTATTTTCTTTATTTTGCTTTTGTGATTGCCTTTTATTGGCTTTTTGTTTGGAGGTCTTTTGGAGTTGCTTCGAGGTGGTACTAATGAATGAGGCCAATGGTGTGCCTTTAACCAATTTGACTATGACCTAGACCAATTTGATAATACGTGGAAACTGAACAACTCATTAGCTAGCAACTCGGCAAATTATACGCACTTAGGCCCCGTTTGGCACACCGTATAAGACATCGGATAGTACTAATAATACGGAGTACGGTGTTTGGTGTCCAATTGTATTAAATAGCCACCGGATTAAACAATCCAGTCCCACCTACTTTATACGGTAAACACCCGCTTGTTTATCCTCTCCAAAACCATGGGACAGTTTAGTCAGGTCCTTCCTTTCCAGACGCAGCCGTGTCTCTGCTCTAGCATAGCCGTCCTTCCAGACGGTGATGATGTTGCCTCCCACCTGGTCCTTAGCCTCCGTGACTATGATAATCGGAACGGCGTCGCCATGCTTGGTAGCCAGCACCTGAGCGATGCAGAGCCCACTGATTCCACCGCCCACCACCACGCAGTCAACAGAGGTGAACATCTTCTTCTTCGTTTCCCATCCCTTTGTTATTCCCCCTCTTTCCCACAAATCCCAAAACCCAATTCCTTTGTCGACGAACCTGCAAAGCAGAAACTAAAAAAAAAAACGATGGAATTTGAAGAAAAAGAAGAGAATATGGGGAAGAAAGAGAAGGATTGGGAAATTCAAAGATTTGAAGAAGAAGAAGAAGAATATAGGGAAGAAAGAAGAAGAAGAACCCGGTTGTAGCTAAATGGTTATGGTTCGCTGAATTCAAAATAATACTAAATCATTGTACTAAATGGTTATGGTTCAAATTCCATCGTATTCTTCTTCTTCTTCCTCCTCAGTTCTTCCAGCGAACCCAGTCCTCCTCAATACTTTTGCTGGGCTGATTTGTAGCTAAAAAAAAGAGAAGGATTGGGAAAAAACCGATGAGAATTTGAAAGGTGGGTTTTGCTGGGTTTCTTGTTGCTACCTTTGTTTAGTGGGGTTTCGTTCAGGGAGAAGACGGGGAAGAAGAAGAAAGGATAGAGAGGGAGGGATTTTGGGGGGTTTGCGGTGGAGAGATCTGGGAACAAAAAAGAGGATTTCCGTTTCTTTTTTTAATTTTATTTTAAGTTTGATTCCTCCTATCTAGTATAATATCAAACACTGTATAAATAATACGATTATTAGTCCGATATTGCACCAAACGCCCGACTAATTTAGTCAGTACTATCCGATGACTATTTATCCTATCCGACAGAAATAGTCAGTACAGTCCGAGCTGCCAAATGAGGCCTTATAGAACTTAATTGTCATTAATTTGGGTTTTGAGAAAGGTACATCATGCACATTGTTGCGAGTTGTATGTATATATTTGGTAGGTTGTAAATAGACTTAATGTCTCACATCGGTGAAACAACCATTTATTCACACTTATAGAACTTAATTGTCATTACTTTTGGGTTCTTGAGAAAGGTACATTATACACATCGTTGCGAGTTGTATGTATATATTAATTACGTTGTAAATAGGCTTAATGCCTCACATCAGCAAAATAATCATGTAACAATGCTTCTAATTCCTATGTATACTCCATATTGGAAAGGCTAAATCACGAAAATGGTCCATAAGATTTGCATAACTTATCATTTTGGTCCATGAGATTTCAAATCAATAGAAGTGGTCCCTGAGATTGTCCACCATCCATCATTTTGGTCATTCCGTTAAAAACTCCGTTAAGTGTTTCGGAGCTCTTGGCTGGAAGTTTGGACAATTTTCAAAGCTTCGTAACTCAATCGTTTTTTAACCAAATTCGATCCATAATATATCAAAATGAAGATAGAAAAGTGTAGAATAAGATTATACCTATTTGGAAACTCAATGGTTGCCGGAGATGGTGGGAAAATAGCCTCAAAGTTGACTGGTCTGAGGGAAAACTGGAAAACTCACTTGAAATTGGGTAAACTTTAAACATTCGTAACTTCTTCAATACTCAACGAAATCAAGTGATTCAAAAACGAAAATCATACTTCTCGATGATATGAAGAGAATGGAACCCTTTTTTTACAGCTAAATCACGGTAGTTTGGCTGAAAAAGGGCTCGAAAGTGGCTAACTTGAGACCAAGATATCCAATTTCGAGCAATTTTCCGGCCAAACCATTGCGATTTAGTAGCTGAAAAAGGTACCATTATCTTCATCTCGTCAAGAAGTATGATTTTCGATCTTGAATCACTCGATTTCATTGATTATTGAAGAAGTTATAAACATTTAAAATTTACCCAATTTCCGGCGAGTTTTCCAGTTTTCCCTCGGACCAGTCAACTTTGAGGCTATTTTTCGGCTATCTCCAGCAACCATTGGGCTTCTAAATATGTATAATCTTATTCTATACTTTCCTATCTTTATTTTGATATATTATGGGTCAAATTTGGTTAAGAAACGATTGAGTTACGAAATTTTGAAAATTGTCCAAACTTCCGGCCAAGAGCTCTGGGACACTCAACGGAGTTTTTAACGGAAGGACGAAAATAATGGATGGTGGACAATCTCAGGGACCAAAATGATGTGTTATACAAATCTCAGGGACCATTTTCACAATTTAGCCTATTGGAAATTAATGAAATATATAAAAAAAAAATTCCAAAATATAATTCAACTTGGAGGATACAGCTATTTTAAGTTCAAGTAATCATAGAGTTCTAAAGTGTCAAAGTGGATGACAAACATCAAACTGGGTTGTGGCATAGACATTTGAGACATCCATCATTTTGTTATCTGAAGCATCAGTTTCCTTCTTTGTTTCACAGTTGTAGTTATTCAATGTTCAAGTATGAAACATGTGTCATGGCTAAGAGTCATCGTGCTTCATTTTCATTAAGTGATTCTAAATTTGCTTCACCATTTGATTTGATACGTTCTGATGTGTGGGGTCCATCAAATGAATTTTGCTATTTTTTTTACTTTTATTGATGATAGTACTTGATTAACTTGGGTGTTCTTGACGAAAAATAAGAGTGATGTCCCTTTTTTTCTTCAAGAATTTTGTGCAATTGTGTCTACTCAGTTTCAAACTAAAGTTAAGGTCTTCAAGTCTAATAACGAAGGATA